TAAAGATGTCAAAGATTGAACTACAATTGAAAATTTGGCTTTAGCCCCAGGGGAAAGAAATTTTTTGGCAATCAGTTAGGCTATGAGTTTTCTGATGAATTAAGTATAAAAGTTCAAATTCACTTAAAAAATTATCAAAAGATTTAACTTATAGATACTTAAAAACCTCGGAATGTAAACAGAAATTTTAAGCAATTAGACTTGCTTTGAGATTTTTTTATAAGAAAAGAAGCTCTAGTTTTAAAAAGAAATGTTTTCAGAGCTTAAAACTCTTGAGAGATCTGCTAGTGATTCTGAAAAGAGTTCGAGATATATCACTGTTTAGAATATACTTTAAGGCGCGCTCTGATTGGCTACTCGAACTCCGCATACCTTTTGCTACATACCTCCGAGCGTTTGTGACCGAAAATATTGTAATCGTTGCAGGAATGAACGAGTTATAATCATCTTTTTGCGCTATATCATCTCGCTGTTTCATTATATACTAAAACAACTATGTACCTCAGTGTTGGTGACTAATAGTGGATATTTACTGAGGCGCGAAGCGTAGACTGTAAATACCCACTACTAACCACCTCCACTTCGGGGAAAAATGTTAATTACAGCATAATCTTTAGGTTGGATTTATCGAGATGACAAGAAAACTCAAAGATTTATCCAAAAAAATTGAAGATGAATCCTATAAATGAAGAATGCACAATACAAATTTTTGGTGTATGTTGAAGATCGTTTTAGTTTCAAAAGCAAGGAAATTTGACAATAGACTTAAAGAAAAAGTGGTGAAAAATCAATTGTGTAGGTATTTAAATATGTTTTAAGCTTCAATATCAGTCGATTTAACTTGTGAGAAATAGAGAAATTAATTCTGTGAACAATTTGGGAGACATCGTTGCTAAGATTATACTCATCAAGTTTGGTTTTAGTCTCAAGTGATGAGAAACTTTTAAAATCAGCTAGGCCCTGGCCGTTCATATAGAGCAGAATTGCCCTAGGTCAGGAGGTCACCCTCCCAGCCGAGTTAATTTTAGCGAGTGTTTACATGAGACAAAAATTGACCCTTTACCTGAGTCAACAGTGCTCGTGTATGTTCTGATTGTCTCGCCTTGACCGAGTTGACCCAGATGGGCGAACCAAAATGTTTGTATAGGGAAATTGCGTGCGTATATCATGAAAAACGGGTGGCCCGGCGAGGTGTGTCACCCCTCCTGCTGAGAAAAATTTTTGTTTGTCATGTAAATGGTTCCCCAAGTTTAGTAAGGAAACGTAGGAAAAGTTGTCTCGCCCAAGGTAGCTCGGGTACGAGGGTGAAACTCCTCTACGATAACTTTTCTCCATATAAACAAGGCCTTATGATTCCGATTTGAGAAGAATTCTAGACAAAATGTTGAATATCCTGGGAGCATATTGAGTTTGGTTTTGGCTCAATAATTAGGAAACTTGACAATCAGGCTCGAAATGTTAATTGAATTGTCTAAAAAATTCTGAATCAGAAAAAATATAATCAGGAGATCAAACTTACGACAGCTATAGAAATGATTTTTTTAAAAAAACAATCCGGGCATATCAATGTTTGAAGCATACTCTTTGAAGTTGGTTTAGACCTCAACAGGTGAGACATACGACTGTCGGAAATGAGACTAAAGAATCTACTATGTTCCGAAACTTCACGTTTTATTTTATAAAATCAACTTAATCTCCCTCTCTCTCTCTCTCTCTCACCGTTCTCTGTCTCACGCTCTGGTCTCTCTCATTTTAAATATATAATATGATCCTATTGTTCAATCATCTGTCACTTATCGCAAAAAGTCAACCGGAAATCAATTAACGCTGAATAATCTCTCACACGACAATCAGGCTCCTAGGTTTAAAAGGTACCATTTTTGAAAAAGTACTCAACAGAAAAAAAGGAGTAACATAAATTTTGGAGTGCATTGAGTTTGCCTTTAGGTTCAAGAACAAGGAAATTTCACAGTTAGGCCTCAGGGGTTTACTTAACCCTTTAACTCCCCGGAGTGATTAACCAGTAATTTCTCCCCATACTATCCATACTTTATTCAGCAAATGTGTAATAAGAATAGTCAAACTTATCAGGTAAAGGTTGTTTTCTTGATCTAAAGCCAAATTCTCTCAACTAATTCACAAGGAAATGTGAAGCAGCTAGAGGGGAGAATTAATAATCGGATCTTTGGAGTTAAAGGATTATATAAATTATCGCACAAAAATTATATTTTAGAAGCGAAAAATATTATCGAGTAATTAACTTGGAAGAGATAGGTAAATGATTCGAGTATACAAGAACTTTGAATTATAGTGGATGGACTATACTCTTTGAATTTGCTTCTAGCCTCAACAGCAAAGATATTTACCAAATCGGTTTATTTTTTCTAACCTCTGTAAATAAGTTATTCAGTTCCAGCTCGTGATGGAAATTTGCTATCAAATAAACCCATAAACATTTTCCAATCTTAAAACTAAAGCAGAACTAAAAAGGCCAACCGTTACTATGGTAAAATGGACGGTCAAATGGATGATAATTGCATGTACGATACATTCTTGATTTTTTTTACACTATTGTCTTATATTAAACAGAAAGCTAGTGGTATCGATTTAGTTAACCAATTGTGCAGTTCATTTCTATTGAAATCCACCTCAATCAGGGAGATATTTTAGATGTCAAACATTTCAGGAATCAAACTTATTTCTTCGTTTGTAGTTTTTTTAAGGTTTTTGATTGTGGTTAACTTTGTATCACAGACTTCTGTCATATCAAGATTCAGTGCAGACCAGACTTATAAGCGCAGATAATCAACTCGCTACAAAACAAAAGAGAAAAAAATATTGACAACCAACCTAATAAGAAGTAACCTTGCTTTCCTCTTCCTCTCTTGAACTTCTTGAGCTCTAGATTTTCTCGTCTATGCTTAACGCTGTCCTAAAGAGAGAGAGAGAAGAGAAATGTGAATATACTCATATTTATCGTTAGGGTAATAAAATATTTTTTATTTGTAAATGAAAATGATATCATCAGGATCGCCGAAACTTGATTACGGCGAGCACATTTTGTATTGACAAGGAAAATATCCCTAAGTAAACAAATGCTTCATAAAAATTATTTCAAATGACCCAGAAAATATTTTGTCAACAACTTTAGGGGATCGCCAAGCTCGCTTGACTAGAGGTTCTTAGTTCTGAAATAACAATGGGCATTTGACGAGCTAGACAGTTGCTATGGCATCTTAGTAATGGCGGTTACGAAAAGAGAGGAGTTAGTCTTAAACTGTGTTACTGTCTATCGCGCTCTTCCTTTTGAAACCCGACTATGTAATTTAATTTTTAAGGGCAACAAAGAGGTACACGAACATTGTATTTCTATCAAAAATAAGCTAATAAATAAGTTATTTACCTAGCGAAATGTCGTGACAAAATGACCTCCAACAATCCTCCAAGTCGAATTCGAACCACCCCTACCAGCATGCGGATTCTAATCACCACCGTACGCTGCTTTTGACAAAACGGATATCTCAGGTAATAACGTTGAAATGTGGAGCTTTCTGGTGCCCAAGAAGCTGAAAAAGACGCTGAAATTTCTCCTTGTTCGGAAGCCCTTTCCACGTGCAAAACTGATAGAAAAATTATGAATTTTAATTTTAAAAAATTATTTGAAATTCAAATGAGTTTTCCGACTTTGAAAGACGGGCCAAACACCATCGACACGCTCTTCCATTGGTTTTGATCGATTGTAATACGAAACACCTCTCTGAAGGCTTATCTTAAACTTAGTTAAGTTTAACAAATTAGAGGAGCGAACATCGTACTCGTTGAAATATTACCTCTGTAACTTGAAGACTCTTTTTCATTTACTAAAATTGGCACTACAAATCCAAATGAAACCTGGAAATTTATATTATTTCATTAATTTGTTTCATTTTGTAAACTATCACTTTGGTCAAACTCGTTTGTGTAACAATCTTTTGAGATATGGGGTTGTATTTTTATTTAACTGTATCTCTGTCGATGGAGAACATAATTTTATTGTTTCCTTATTTTTAATAATATCTTCGATTAAGTTTCAAGATTTTTTTGGCCACAAAAGCATTTTTTTGACAAACAAAGTTATCTTAACTTTAGAAAAAAAATAGGTGTCGTATTGCTCCTTTGATTCTATGGTGACGTCTTTCTTGTCCCCAATGTGGCCGACATCAGTATCCATATTCTTCAAACTGTTATCTATGTATTCCCTAGGGTGCTTACAAGGATAAGTTTAGCAATCAAGAGCCTCTTAAGTTGGTGACCACTTTCCATATTCTTGTGACCTTAAAGTTTGATTCCCCGGGGATCACGTAAGGAGAAATTAGATGCTAGTTACTCCTGGAGGTTGAATGGTTAAGGAAACTCGTGGAGAGAGGATCTTCTTTCCTTCTTGTCCCAACTTTGTTTCCAGGCCTCTTTTTCCTGTTCAGGATGCAAGTGAGAAAGAAACTGGGACAAAAGTTGGGTCAATCCTCCCGGACGTTTCAACTTGCGACCAGGCTCTCAATAGTAGCGCTAAGGTACGAGCGTCGTAGCTCGCGAGTCCCTCATTTTCCTTGTACGAACCTTCTTCATTTGAACTAAAAATGAGAAATCTTTGTTTCTCAGAGGTAAGGGCATCTGCCATCTTCTGTATCGTCTGATTTTGTTCTCAGTGAAATGCTCTCGTTCATTCCGAATCCAAGGGATAAGTGCAAGGGGAAATGGAGCGCGGAGAATTTATAAATATATCAATACATGATTATTCTCTGTGATTACCAGCTCTTCAGAATGGTTATTCTAACTCTTTTTATGATTCACTCGTTCCCTGTATGCAACAGAGTCGGAGTCAGTCGTGTCTCGGTTGTCATACATGTTAATATGTTCCGGTCAAGTTTAGGACACCTATTTATTTTGTAGGTGTGTAAGCGCTGAAAGGAAGATTCGTGTAAGAATAAGACAAATATTTCAATAAAGGAGTTACTTCAACACACTTTTATTGTTGAACAAGGTTATGATTATTTCCACACACGCTTGCATTGTCATGGGATAAAATAAGTAACATAATGTAGTTCATTTAAAATTACTTACTTCGTTCTACCTACTTAGTGAGGGTAACAAACTAACAACCTTGTGTCTTCCCTGCTAAGGGGAGGGGGCACTCCTCTGTGTACATTTCTTGGTTGTGTGCCACCCCAAAGAGTACGATTGCATGATTGACTTGTACGGTTAAAATTGGGTATGAACCTCTAGGGGGTTACAGCGGTATTTAGTCTTATATAAGATCAGGATTTAGAGAACCCACCGACACACCCCAACAAAGAGCTCCAAGGAGTACCCCCAGGATTTTGCCCTAGGAAATCTTCAAGGCGTTTATAATTACATAAACTTGCATTAAATTATTATTACAACACACTTTTTTCACAGAGGATATGCCCTGAGGGCTAGCACACTACAAAAAACCCTCCGAGAGAGTTGTACAGATATTTCCCTACACACTATAATAAGGTACAATGTAGTAGTAGGTTGAATACTAAACATGACAATTCTAATGACCTTAATACATATACATCTGGTGTGATCTGACTATAGAAGTACCTTAAATACTACAACATAATGAGTTGAATTGTCTGACTTGCGTGAAAACCCTTTAAAATCAGAGTCAGGATTCTTACCAAAGGCTACCAGAATTTTTTATTTACCCTTTGACTCCCAGAAGTGATTAACAAATAACTCCTCTCTACAATAACCACATGTTATCTTGCAAATGGGTAATGAGAATACACAAACTTAACTGGTAGAAGTTATCTGAATCTAACACCAAATTCTTGTAACTGATGTAAAGGGAATGTAAAGCAGCTAGAGCAGAAAATAAATAAACAGATCTTGGGAGTTAAAGGGTTAAGTCTTGTAGCACTTAGATTGTTTTGCCATTTTTGCTTGGAGTGTCCTCAGCATCTTCCAGAGTAAGATAAGGAACCATAAAGAGTTACACCTGGTCAAATCCAAATCAAGTTGAAATTTCAATCCTGGATTAGGGCTTAATACCTGGCTATATTTTGCACTAACACAACTTCTCAAAACAGTTGCAATTCACTTAGTTAAACCACTGCTTCAACAGGTGTTTAAGCGTGACTTCAGACCTTAAACATAACAGCCCTACTCGATCGTTGCTTTTAGAGGTCTACCATATTTTGAGGTGGGGGAAAAGATTATGACCATCTGCACTGTACCATTACTGATAAAATACGTTATGACTAAAAACAGTTTTTGCTTGAAGATAATGAAAAGCATAATTATTTTATATGGCATACAGAGCCACTTACAGTAAATTCATGCACCGTTTCAAAATAAAATTAATGGAATGTAAATTGATGGGAATGTACCATTTAACCACTGTTATTCAGCTTTTATGCTTGCTAACACCCAGCTTTTACAAATAGTGATGCATGCACATTTAATAAATTAAGTTATTGCCTAAAAGTTACATGATCCACTGTACAGTTTGTCTTAAAATTTTACAGAACTACAACAAAATAACTACATCAAAAACTGTTTACTTGCTTCACCCTTTCATCATTAAAATGCTCTCATACTTGAAACACATAAGTATTATTTTGTTTGCTTTGCATCTAATTTATAATCCAAGATCTTATGCAAATTCTCTCAGCTAGCCTCTGAGTACTTTCTGGAGACAACAATAAGTTCCTTGTATTTGAAGCAAGATCACACCCCTTAGCCCCTTTTACAGTACAAAATATTGATACAGTAACAAGTAAAACGCTCATTGTATATGGGGATTAAAAAATGACAAGAATACAAATTTGCTTAGGAACATGTGCACATCAGTCATGTTCAAATGAAATTTTAGTCTGTCCCTTCCAAAATAATTGTCCTAAATTGCTACTACTAACCAAAAACAAAAAGAAAAGAAAAAAAAATACCTTAAAAGTGAAAACATGAGGAAGGCTGCATACATACAGTGTACACTGAAAACCAAAGTCATGTTCATATAATTAAGCTAAAAAAAATGCTTAGGTGTCACTGATTAAACGTTTCTTACATTTGCATCATTAAAACAAAACAAAATTTTTCTTATAGTCATGTGGAAACTCAAATACCCAGAAATCATTGGTATCTCATCACCTTAAAGGTAGCCTTTCGCCAACTAGTTTGTCATTGACAAAATCATTTACAAATGCCTCTACAACCTCTTTAGTCAGCACCTCTTCTTGACACTCATAGACCATTTGTGATGGAATATCTAGTATCACTAGAATACCTGCAGATGTACCATCATCCTCCTCATTAAGACCTATAAAATCACGCAAACTGTTGGAGGTGTCATCTCTTTTTGTGTAAAAGAAGAACAAAGGAGGGTCGTCATCTGCTTCCTCTGCCACTTTGAAGTAATGCTCAGCCACTGGTTGAATGATATCTTTAGCACCCTGAATAGAGCCTTCTTTACCATCTTAACAAAAAAAAATCAACAGAGAGATAAGTTAGTATTATTGGAGCTCTGTCACTGCATCTCTCTCCTTTTTTGCACTAGTGGCAAAAGCCTTCAAAATTAGCTAAAGCTTGGAGCACTAATTTTTCTTGAAACAACTAAATTTGCATGCATGAACACGAAAGGAAACTTTGGCAAACTACTGTACAACAAAAACAGCAGGAAGAATGTGGTTAACCAAAAGGTCCAATAACAAAACAATGGCTGTTCAAGTAAATCATGAAACTTTATCATTTCTAGACAGTCCTCAGTAAAACAAAGTGAAATCGCTACATCATGAATTAACAAGGACCCCAGCACTAACTGCAATTTTTTTATGTTTCTGTTTGGAAGAGAAGCTGGCCTCCACATACATGTACTCTCATGAAATTAATTCTCAAATAGTTAGACTCACCAAATACATCTAGCCACTTGAAAAATTTACTATACAAAAAAGTCGATTATCTAATTGAGGTTGTCTTTGACCTGATTCTTTGCTATCCTTTTTACCCAAATCAATAATTTTTTAACAACTAACCAGTGAAATATATCAGACATTTCTCATCATTCACAGTACTGACTGTTAGTTGATTGATCACATTTAAAGGCTTCAGTTTCCAAGGAAATTGCTGCAAAAAAAAGTCTCAATGATAAAACAATCAACTCTACCCTTTACTTCCTAACTTCAATACAATAATACAATCCCAACACTAATACAACATACTGTATGTATATTTTGTATAATGCTTGTCTACTTTCTATACTGTTCTCTACACATTTCTTAACCCAGTTTCTCACAGGCTCTTGGCCCTTTGTTCTGAGCTACTTCTGAAAAGAGGAAGGTAAAACAAAACAAAACAAAACAAAACCACTGTCCTTCATGATTTTATTTTTTGTATTTGTTTTGTGTTCCCCTGTGATGTGTACCAGTAATCATCTTGCTATAGGAGGTGCTAATGTTCATCTGGTTTTTCTATAGATAAATGAATGTTTAATTGTTTGTCTCACAATGTAAGATTCAGGCTAATGAGTTGTGTCTTCATCAGGCAATGAGGTAAATAATTTGAGCCGCTATTGGTGTATTATAGCAAGCTGTCATTGGTGCATTTTGATCCTCATGGTTATTTCAAGTATTAGATGTTGTTAGATGTTAGATGATGATCAGCTGCTATGCTTTTTGGTAGTAGGCATCCATAATTCAGGAATTTCAATTTCATTATCTCCATTGATGTTATTAGCTTAAAGTCTTACATGGATGGCTTCTTTAAACAAGTAAGGTTGACAATTAAACCCTCATTTAGTAATCATCTAATCAATAATATCTGGTGACCCCCATAATGTGTAGTAAGCTACCTTAATCAAATATTACAAATAGATGTAAAATCAGCAAGGGTATACATGTCCAAATATGAAGTGTATAAAAAACTTGTATTTCAAGATAGAAATAGGGTTCAAAAAATCTGGTTAGCACAAAATGAATTCTTGATTTATGCTAACTAACCTCTCCTTCTGGGTCAGCTGAAACTACATGACGACCGTTTGAAGAGATGATCTTGTGCTTCTCATCCAAAAGAATCAAAGTTGGAATGCCTGCAAAGAATAGAAGTGACTGCTCATCACTGCATTTTGATTGGACTCTGTAACAACCCTTTGATCCCTAAGAGTGACTCGCATCTAACCTCTCCTTACAATATCACCCCAATTCCAAGGAAATGATTACCAACCCAATCAAGCCCTTGATTGTTAAACAAATTCTCATTGTTAGCACCTTACGAGAAGATCGCTCCAGAAACCACATAATTTTTACTTCTTTCATTAAAAGGCAGTTATTGCTGTCTCTTAATTACCGCATTTTGAGATTTCAGGGTGTGACCTTAAACCATTTTAAAATTCTCTGCAAAAGTGATTGGTTACTCATTGCTGTGACTACACTGAAATGAAGTGCAATTGATTGTCTTGTTATGTCATCATTTCCAAAGTGGATTGCGATGTTTCAACTTAAAACTGCAAGCCTTGAATCTTCAGGCAAGCTGAAGAAGGCTTTCAGTCTGCAGTCAAAACCTCACAATTCACATCTGAAGTGACTACATCACAAGACAAACAATTCTACTTCAGTGCCAGTTAGAGTCTATGATTTCACTCTGTTGAACCATCAGGCTTACACAGGCAAGTACTCAGCAATCACCAATATCCCTTGCTTCAAACAGATGCTGTAGGTCATATTTCTACTATTGTGACTACTGGAACATGTATGTGAATTGTATCTTCAACAAAATCACAAGTACATGTATGCAAACTAGACTCTTCCAGCTGGATAGTCAAGAGTACCTCTCAATATTTTACAGAAGAAACCTTGATAAGTTTAAATTATTTGGAAGTACCTCTTACCTTGCACTCCATACATCTGGGTCAGGTCTTTTTTGATACCTTCCTGGAACCCAGTAGAGAGCCAGGGCATCTCTTTAAAATAATCACTATACCCTTCCTCACTGCGATCTGAACTCACAAAAATGATTTCAAAGGCGTTTCCCTTCTCCTTAACCTTTTTGTACGTCTCAATCAATTGTGGTGTAAAGGCTCGGCAAGGAGGGCACTGATAAAAAATAGACAGTCAAAATCTGTATGTGGCTACTGGCATAGCACAATCTCTATAGTATTGAAAAGAACCAGAGGTTGGATAATGACACTTGAACATAGTTTTGCGGAATATTTGTCTCACATGCACAACAGAAAACCTGCTGCATCCCACATACATTTATTTATGAGTACCATGTTCCACAAGAGAAAGATAATGCAAGAATATGTTGTCTAAATGACATTCAACCAATAATCAAATGGTAACAAGTAATAATACCAACAATAATAATGTTGATAACAATGGTAATAAAATATTAATCAAAAGGGGTTCGCTTGAAAGCCTCCTAGTTTCCCAATCCTCTGGGCTCTGACAATGATAACCTTAGTTTTGCCTTAACCCTTAGGGTTTTGCCTTAAATGACTACATTTAATTTTGCTTGTTAATTATAAATAATATTCTTATTGCAATTCCAATTTTCTGAGACTGTAGTTTCATGGAAAAGGAATTCTGCGCTTTAGGATATTCTGACATTCTTTGTCTTAAGACATTCTGTTGTTCTGGTGATCAACCTTTACTCTGTTCCTCAATTCTGATGAATAACCCAAGGTATCCTATTCCCAGCTTGCTTGCTTAGCAGTTCTCACTGCATAATAGTTGTTGACTCATAAGCAAAATACTCTCTTTTCCAAGAAAACAAAAATTCCTCAAAGCTTCCATGATGTGCAGATCATGTCTATTGAAATATTTCTACAAGAAAAAGTTTCAATTTCAATTATGCCTCAGTGGATGCCAATGGGAAATTATTTTGACATGAAAGATTATGTCTTCAGATCTATATAATTTGCTGATTTAAACAGTAAAATGCTCTCTCTTCAAAGAAAAAAAATTTCCTCTAGGTTTCATAATGCGCAAATCACACCTATTGAGATAATTTTTCAAGGAAAACATTTGTTTTTAATTGCACACAATCCTAAAAAGGATTGTAAGATGTTTACTGTCTTCAGCTTTCTTCTGTAGTCTCATGGTAAGAACTGAAACAATACTTTGCCAGTGGCTATGAGCCAGAAATCACAAAAGGAGAGAACTCAACCAGGTATTGAGTGCAAATGTCAAACTACTGAGATACTCCAAAAAAAAAAAACAAAACAAAACAAAAACAAAAAAAAAATAAGTAGCACTGAAAACCATTAGGTCAAAATTGGGTCAAGATCTCATCTTGAAAACATATCTGGCTTTGCTTCCTTTAGGAGGCAGGAACCACAAAAAATGAAAGAAAAACATTTTTTTGAAATACAAATAAAGTCACAATTTTTTTCCCTGCAAGATGGGAGTTTGATTTTACAATAAAATTGGCTTTCAGCTACCTGTATAAAAATTTGTGATGTCTTCTCTACTTTTTATCATTGTTAAGTAATGGATACATGTAGCTGGTTTTGGCACATGTTTGGCTCAAGATACATAGGCAACCCTTATCGTGTGCTTAATGTACATGTACATATACCAGTCATTACATACCCAATGTGCCGAGAAGTACAACCCAAGGACTTTCCCAGCTAAATCAGCAAATGACTTCTCCTCTTTCTCATGGTTAACCAATTTTATATCTTTCATTACATCAGCCAGTCCTTTAGGTCTCCACGGAAAGTCTTTGGCTTGCTGATCTTCTGCAACCTTTGTTCGCCCATTGGCTACTATAACTTTTCCATCCTTTCCATCCAGTATGACCAGTGTTGGTATTCCATCAACTTTAAATTTTTTTGAAAGTTTCTCCTGATGAAGAGGGAGGAAAACCATTTAAACTTGTAACCTCCATGAGTGACCAAGACAGAATTTCTCCTTACATATCAATACACTATCATCAGACAAGTGATGAGAATAAAGAAAAATTGACATGTAAATTAGTAGATTACTAGTTGATACAGTGCCAAATTTTCTGAACTAAAAACATAAAAGTTTTATAGAAGACAGTTAATGTGAATTCCTAATGAAATCTTGGAAGTAAAAGGGTTTGGTTGCTAGTTCTGTTTAATGCATAGAGCAGTAATACAATAGTATGCCATGTAAGAGTCACAGAGTTGATAAAAGTTCTAAGTATTTAGAACCAGAGAAGCAAAGAGAGTTCAAGTGTTACTATTTTCCTTTCACTTTATCTGTTTTCACATGGCTTTGATCCTGAATACATGTATATTGGAACAGTAAACTGATTAATTATTTAACTTTGAATTCAATTGAATATTGTATTGAAACACATTCTGTCCTGCGTTCATATCCTTTAGCTCTGATGTGTATCTGTTAGTTTTCTTCATTAGTTACAGGTGTAAATACATGTACACAGGCCAGCATTATAGTTACTCAAAGTTGCTAAGAGCTACTCAACTCAGAAAATTTATTATGAAAGATTTCTGAAAAAAAACCAAAATTGACAGACACAAACCCAACAGTGTGAATTGCTTTGATTGTTTATGAACTGATGGGAAACAAGAACCACGGGAACAGTAAAAGTTTGCTGGCTGATTGCAACCATTGGTGGCTGGATCAATCAATAACACTTTTGAGGTTGAAAAAATTCTCTACTTTCATGAGATAAAAGAAAACTTATTGAATTCACTGCCTTATAATGTCTAACATTTCAATCCTTCAAAAACAGTTGTGGTCACATAAAATAGCTTCTGAAGTGTATCCTTCTGAGGCAGAAAACTGATAGATGTTTTTGTCAGATGCAGGTGGGAGAAAACCCAGTAAACATACAATCATTGTGTTACAGTGTAAATATTATTGAGGGACTGTGAAGTGAAACATGAAAAATTTCAAACATGTGTAGAGCTGTGCACAGCTGCCCTCTTTTGAACTTCCACACACATTATCTTAACTATTGACTTTGCCACCCAAACAACTGTGACTGCAAAACCCTTTATTCAGTACAGAGTGAAAGGAAACAAAGGAGTGCTTTCAAAGTACTACTGAAACTCAGAATATAACATCATTGTCTGAGTAAAAAGTGAAAGTAAATTTTTGTGACTAATCACACTTTCCCTATCCATGAAAATTAATTGCAACATATAGCCTCAAAATAAATCTTGACCTCTACCAATTCAGAGGTTATTGGGGATGGATAATCGAATCAAATGAAATGACTTTAATAAATGATTGTCAATCTCAAAGTAATATTTTCAAACAAAGAGTCAAGTTCCTAGAATTAACCCAACGAAACAAGGTTTTTTTTTTAGGGGTCTGTCTTTCCCATTTTTTTCTTCTTAATCTTTTTGCCGCTAAGTATTTAACCATGATGTTGGTGAGCCATGAATAAATATCAGAGACATGTCTTCAACAATAGGTGAGCAAACACGATTCCAAGGGCTTACACGTCTATTTGACATGTACTGTATGGTTAAAAAAAACTAATCAATTGAGACAGATTGGTTAGCCATCATCAGCCATCTAGAGATCATTACAATTGCACGATAACAAGATTTAGTGAAATAAAAAAAACTAAAAAATTGAAAAAAATTGAATTTAAATCGAAGGTTTACATATAGTTCATAGGTATGGTCTAGCATAATATTCACAAATGTTGTTATGGCTTCAACAAATTACTTATATTTAGCCAATATAAATAAAGATGGTTTAGCAAAAAATAAGCAGCTGCGATGTTCCCAGGATTATATGGAAAAAATGCGCCATGGGAAAAATTCCTTAAATTCATACAAGCTTTAAGAAATATTCGTAAGGAAATTCACGAAAGTGGCCCTATGAAACTTTTTTTGCAAGATTGCTGTTTGTTTACGAGCGCTCAAATTGTGATAACAGTTTCAGCGACTCGTTTCTGAAGAACACATTGCATTATGCGAGCGCAACACGAGTCAAGCCCTAGGCGATTAGTTGGCGTTATTGAATTTTCATTCTCGGAGACGCGCTAATAACAAATTGGAGACTACTCATGCAACAAGTTACTCTGAAATAGTACACCTTCCAAGAATAATTAGCTCTCTACATTTGGAATGCAAAATTTACAAATTAGAGGAATCGATAGATTGGGTGTTACATGTTATGCACACAAAACGAAAGCTGAACTAATTAAATTCAGCTGACTCACCTTTCGATCACGATCAGCGAAAGGCAAAGCAATCCAGGGCATTTCATTGAAATATGACTTCCACTCAGACTCATTCTTATCAGAACTCACAAAAACAATTTCGAACTTTTTCTCTAAGTGATGTTTCTTGTAGAACTCTGCTAACTTGGGCGTAAAACCGCGGCAAGGCGGACACCAGTGAGCTGAGAAGTACAAGCCAACAACCTTCCCTTCACCACAGATACTCTCTGTCGAGACCTCATCCGCTCCTTGGCCCTGTAGTTTCTCACCTAGAAGGCGCTTGAAAGCGTCAGCCATGATTTAATAAAATGTGGTTTGATTTTATCAGTTGAGGTTATCCACAACAGCTAGAAACCGTTGCCAAAAGCTCAGTTACCAACAATTTTAGTAGCAATTATATATACGACGCCACATTTTAGGCAACATCCGATCTCTTTGTTTTGACAGGCCTGACATTGGGTGCTTCTAGAGAAATTTTGGGGTGACGTCACACTTTTTAGGACATGACAGAAGCCAAAACCTCTGGTAGGAAAGCGTTTTTAACAGATCACCTACAAGATCTCATTTGTGAAATTCTAAGCAAACCTAACCCTTTAACTCCCAAGATCTGTGTCTGCCATACAGTTCTTGTGATGTTAGTTTGGAGAATTTAGTATTTAATCAACTTATAATCCCCTTATTTGATATTTTTCTTTATTCTCATCACCTGTCTGCTTGATATTGTATTGATATTGTAGGGAGAAATTCTGTCTTGGTCACTCATGGGAGTTAAAGGATTAATAGGGATTGCGGAAGAATAGTAAAACGAAAATAGATCAGAGTGACGAGGCTAAATAAATGAAAAGTAACCAACGAAAACCGAAAAACCTATATTTCAGTTTCATGATAAATGAAAGCTCATGACAAAATATCGAAACAACAAAAGTGAAAATGAAAACTGAAAAATTATATTTATTTTTATGAGAAATGAAAGCTAGTGACTAAATATCGAAACAAAAACAAAAGTGACGACTTAAAACCGAAAAAACTATTTTTATTTTCATGAGAAATTAAAGCTAATGACAAAATATCGAAACCAGAAAAACCGTAAAACCATAATAGTATATAACAATATAGAACACCCTGAGTCTAATTAGCTGGACCTGCGTTACCAGGGCTGCATAACCAATTTCTGGTATTCACTAAGTAAACAGCATCCCCATTACTGAGAGAGGAAACACGGAGAGGAGATTGGAAAGTATGCGTCCAACGCTACCCACCCCTCCCTTTCTTTTTCACGTCTTTCCTTGCTACCTTCTGTACAAATGACACAGGCTTTTGGCAGCAGTGTTTTTCTTTCAGAGCAGGGATTTTTAAGTACTTTTTTCCATAGGCAGCTGCTAATAATACAATAGGCGGCTAGGCCCGGAGAGGGGGCCCGCAAGGTGAAACCTAAACTCGAGAGACTACTCGCAAGCTGAACGCAATTTTCAATTTAGTCCCTTTAACCCTTTAAATCCTAAGAGTGACTAACTTCTAATTTCTCCCTACAATATCAGCTCTGAATGATACATTAAGGTCATGAGAATAAAGGAAATGATCACCAAAGAAAGAAGCTTTTGATCGGTAAACAAATTTATTTACGAAGTGTATAACCAACATGCACCTCTACGTGTACTCCAAACTAAAGGCGTGGCCACAGTTAGGTTCTTCTTTACAGCCTGGATGCACCATCATAGTTACTACCCTATGGAGGGTTATGGATTGGCAATGGAACCAGTTCAGCAGATTCGACTTGCATGTAATTGTCTGGTGTAGGGCCGATGACGTTTTGTTCCGCTGTTTGTAAACCATTTAACCTCTGGCAGCTAATTTCTCCATACAATATCAGTCTGAATCAAACATTGAGGTCATGAGAATAAAGCAAATGATCATCAACGAAAGAAGTTCTCGATTGGTAAACAAATTCTCCCTTTCAGAACCTTAAGGAATATATAGAGAACAGTATGGAGAATAAGCATACTGCTGTTTGGGTTTAAAGGGTTAAGACGCTGATGTAAGGCTGTTGTAATTCGAAAGTCGTGGCAGGGTGTTGAAAGAAAGTCACAACATAACCGTGTCTTTCTAAGTCTTTTTTTTAATAACAATCGTCTTCACGCTACAACAAGTCACAAGGTAAGATATTCGGAGTGTCTGCGTATTGGGGTTAGAAAAGAAGCTTGTGGCAAATATATTCTTGAACAGTAGATGCGTTCTAATGATCACTCTCCCTTGGCCGGTTTCTGCGACTGTCTCTTTCGCTCGTCCAAGCGTTTGGCGTAAGCCTGGGCCATGGAATTGATGATTGACAACAAAAAATACACGATCATGGCGATAACAAGCTTCTCAAAAATCCAAGCCAGAATATTTGGTTCCTGCCGAAGAAAAAGGAGACGAGTTTGTCAGATCAATCACCTCACGCAATTGTAAGGTTGGTCCCGTCATTTTTGTGTTACGCGGTGTCCAGACTAAAGTACTTTCAAAAATAATTGTTGTACAATTCTTAGGAGCAGAGCAAACATACGTTTAATCTCATAAGTTGTCTCGATAAGGTTTCTTAGTTATGGTCATTCATGGTATCTATAGTATTTTATATAATAAGCTCAGTTATGCACGCATTCTGATTGGTTCTAACTTATGATCTATTGGAGGACAGACGTATAGATGACGTCATCATTAAAACTTTTTAAAATTCTTTATTATATAAAACAAATAGGTTCCAAGTTGCCGTGCGTCTGTTCAGTAACAGATCACAGAGGACGTCAAAATGTGGTAAGAACATCAGTGACACACTCGGCTGCGCCTCGTGTGCCACTTTTTTGTTCTTACCACATTTTGACGGAACAGACGCACGGCAACTTGGAATCTATTTGTTGATTGGACTATGTAGTTTTTAACAGTTTTTAAGTGCTTTACGTAAATAGTGATTGTTTCTTGAAAAACATCAAGTGCATTATGTATTATGTAAGTCGCTGGTTTTTAGTTAGTATGACGGGTGTAGAGCTACCATACAGAAATACTGTCAATAAATCGTTATTATTATTACTATCATTATTGTTAAATCGCGATGGTATCACCCGGTTGATTTTTCCTAATTTCTAAAGCTGTTATATTGAACGTCTTCGAAAGGCGCGCAGCACAGAACAGCGGTGGCGGGAGACATGTATGATAGGAAAGTAGAAACGGAGATTGCAGGGTTCGTAACCTTCTTCACAAACAAATTTCAAGGAATTTTTCAAGACTCAAATTGATTTTTCCAGGACTCCAAATTTCACCTAAAACCCTTTCATTTCCAATCCTCCTTACGGTCTACATACATTTTCTATAACTTCAATTCTGAAAACTTAATTGCTTCAGTTAAGCAAATTTTCAGGACTTTTCCAAGACCTGTAATCTTTTTCTAGGACCTGTAGTCTTTTTCTAGGACTTTCCAGTCTAAGAAAATGTCAGAATAAAATTCCAGGACTTTCTAGGTTTTCTTGGACTCGTGCGAACTACTTCTGTCATTTCTCCCGACCCATCACACTTTAAGTTTGCGAAATGAAGACGGCCAGGAAGTGGTCAGACCAACTTTCTGTCGTGTGGTGGTATAAACTCAGTGACTTACCGATGTACTAGCTGCTTGACCAGGTTTTCGATGTAGTTTTTCCTTTTGTTTTTCAAGTGCTATCTTAAAAGGTTTCTGAATATACGGGCCAACAGTTGGAATGTCGCTGCAAAGGCGAATAAAAAAAATGCACATCAAAGTCACATATCCAATTCACAAAGAATAAAAAACTCAACAAGAAAAAACACGCCAAGAAGATGAAAAAGAACATGAAGTGAAGCTTTTTAAGAGGATCCTGCCATTGTCCTCTCAAATAAAATTAAAAACAATTTTTCCACCTCAAGAGTCTAGTTTTTTTTATTTCGTCTCAAGAAGACTTACAAAAGTTTGCAAATCATTTATAGTAATGTAGAAGCTGTTTAATAAAAATATCGAAAATGGTCGTCTGGTGATCTTTAAAACGCTTTGTATTGCGACAACAACGACCTTTTAAGTCGTTCATGTTGCATTACCAAACTCAAAGTATGATACTTAAGAATGTTAGCTTAACAATGTTAGCTCTCTGTTAACTTAAGAATGTTAGCGCGTCGCGGAGAGCTCGTTAACATTATTTTTTTCATTGACTTGTTTTGACGCGCGCGATAGACTTCGCCGAGAACGAGGGACTGCTCTTGGTCTAACCTTGTAGCTGTACGCTTTAAATGATTTAAAAGTGAACCGAGACTTATCACACCCGTACAAGTTTGTTTAAAATTTGCCCAATGTGGGGAAAAAACATTGTGGGGTAGAATCAGCAATAACAGATGAAAACTTACCCAACATAGGATAAAACAGCCTCTACATAATTTTTACTAAATGCTAAGATAACGAACGTTTTCTGAAAAATAAAGTACAATACATCTTATATAATAGAATAATAATAACAATAATAATAATAATAATAATAATAATAATAATAATAATAATAATAATAATAATAAAAATTAAAACAAATTCAAATCACGTGCCCCTGGAAATTACTCAAGATTCACTTCTCTATTAAATTCAGAACGGAACAGACCAACCACAACGAAAGAAAGGAAAAGTCTGTACCCGTGCCAACTAGCCAACCCAGTCAGAGGTCATCCTGATTTCCATAGCATAAGCGACACTACTTTCCCCCCCATGGGATACTAGTCCATTAGGTTACCCCCACCACCCCCCGAATATCATCAGAATATCAGAATATCATCAGGCTTCCCTGACAATTCGCCAATACCCATTTATCCCGACTCCTGAGGGTCGGGAGGCACCGTAAAAGTCAAATGAAAATACATTGACTTGACTGTCTCAAACCAGACCTCTCTGAACGGATGTCCAACCACAGACACAAAGATGAAGAGGCCCCAATTCTTACCTGAAGATGCATCTTTATTATGGCCTTGCCAATGAGTGTGGCCCCAAAGAAAGTCCAGAATGGTACCAGGCAGTGACCACAAGTGATACCAGCTAAGTCAAAAAGAGGATTTGGAACCTGTCAAAAAATTGAAAAGCCAAGTGATTATTAATGACCTCTGAGTATGAATGCATAAACTCTAACTGAGGATCTGGTTGAAAAGAGACATAAAAGATTTGTGTGAAAGAGTAGCATATAGGGGCGCTATGGTCCATAGCCAATCAGAGAGCCAGATTCCAGACACAAAGAAGCATGGACCAATCGGAGAACCAGGTTGGCATCCGAGATGGCCATTTGATTTGTTACACAATCTCCTCACACCTAGGGTGTTACAAGACTCGTGTGTTCCTTACTCTCGTAACTGCACAACACCCTAAGCGTAACAATATTTTGTGGCAAATTAGCGGTAAATCTCCGTTTCCAATGATAATCAGGTCATAAGAATATATTGTGCCTCACTTGGGTACAAAGCCTGGCTCTCTTGTTGACTGTAGATTAAAGCACCCCCATAAACTAACTGAGGAAGTGTCAACTGAATGAAGATTGCCTCATGAAAGTATAAAAAACTGACGATAGTTTGTGTGGCTCGACTGTTCAAATGGAAGGAATAACTGTGTATTGATAGGGAAAAGAATGACCCACAAAGAACAGGTTTTACTTACCGAGGCACACACAAGTATGCCAAAGAATCCTACACGCTCCACTAAATCAAGAACCATTTTCTTAAGTCTAGTCCACAAACTTTGGTTGGCAAGAGAAGTCATTCTCTCTAATTCCTCAACCTCTTCCAGCTCCTCATCATCAGGATCTTCTCCTGACAAACGTGCTGAAGAAAACAGAAGGAAATTCGTTGAAGGAAATTTCACCGTTTGGTGTATTCACCCAAGCAGGCAACTAAAAATTGTTTGGCCTGTGTAAAACAAAGGAAAAAGACCTGACAGATGTTATTTTCACACCCAATACATCTCAGCCACACAATACCTCTACACTAACACCACCTTGTCCAAGTTGTTCAAAGCTCAGTTAAGATAACCTAGGATTAGTGTGAAGTTTGATTTCAGGTCTAAAAGCTTCAAAAGAAAGTTCAGTTCAAATCTCTTTGCTTGCAATTTGGTTATTGGATGTTCTAAAAAGAATAGGGAAATTTTCCCCTAAAAGGCTTTTGAACAAAGAAATATAAAAAACCTGGATTAAAATTTAACCCTAGCTTAGTGCTAATTGGCCTTCAAACAACTGGGGCTTGGCTATTTATGATTATACAACTTAATATTTTTTTGCAAAAAAACAAAATGCAATATAACAGGTGGTCATTTGTTGTGAAGTTGTAAATTTTCCACTATCCTTGTTGAGTATAGTTTTTATTGGGTAATTAAGTGTTCACAAGTTTCAAGATGTGATTGGTCTGAAATGTTATTAACTCCATCTCTATACCATTTAATTGGCCATTGAGAAAATTCCCTCACAACCTATACAAGTCCCTTCTTTATGACTTAGTGACAAATTCATGAATGTTATTGACCTGTCTAGGATGTGTTCATTAATATACACTCTGTACAATCTTCCCTGAACTGAACATTTAAATTAAAATAATTCAGTTCCAGCAATTTTAAGAGTTGGGATTTTTAAAATACAAAATCAGAAATTCCCTTTGATTAAACAGCAAGGACATGTCACACATAACTGGTTACCTGCCCTGGCCATAAAATAAGGGGGTAGCTCTCCAATGGCAGTTCCTGCACCCTAAGAAAATTAACATAATTGGTACTTCAAGTTTAGCCCTTCACACCCTAACATCAGTATGTGTATTCTCCAAACAGTTCTCTATACATTTTCAAGGGTGCCGACAAGGAGAATTTGTTTAACAATCAAGAACTTTGTTACTTGCTAATCACAGCTTCCCTTATTCTCATAACTGTAATATTCTAAGGCAAAATGAGATGCTAGTCACACTTAGAGGTTGAAGGGTAAGCAGGCCGAAGCTCTACATGTATTTTAAAAGCAGTGAAAGATATCCAACTTGAATAAAAAAACTCCCTGAATTTAAGCACCATATAGAAACCACACAATGTCCAAGAACAACTTGACATCGATGTAGACAGGGTAATTTTGTATTATCAACTGAGTTGATAACCTAAAATTGGCCACCTTAAGGAGTTTTGCTCTGAGGAAGGGCTGATGCTTGAAACATCAGCACCGAAACTCCTTACGGTGGTCAATTTGGTGTTATCAACTCAGTTGATGATAGGAAACTACCCTGTTATACTCTTCCACCAACGCAGCACCACAGTTTCTAAAGAAACTTGCCTCTTTTATTCATTGCAATAGACAGTGGAATAACAGATGAACATTTGGTACTGGCTTACCCACATAAAAGCTTCTATCCTGACTTTGCTCATAATGGTCCACATGTTGACATTGGATGTGTGATTGCCATCAGGACACTGAATTCTAAGAGCAAGGTCATTATTGTTGTCAGTACCTCTATCAATCGAGGTTAAAAGGAGTCACCAGTATACAGATGTACTAAAGATGCTCACTTCTTGTGACTCAGACTTGATTGTATAGGTACATGTACAAGAGCCAGGAGTTTGCAAAGCTGGCATTTCCAGCATTAGCCTCAATCAGAGTGAAAGGCATACATTTGAAATGTCAGCCTTTCAGACTCAACAACAGGTTAATCTACTGAATTAATTTTATGATGATTATCAACTCCTGTGGATGCCTATTTTGGTGCTGCTAAAATTTACTGGTTTTAGATTCAAGCTGCCAGTTTTGGAGACCACTCTACTGAACGAAAGACTAAAGTGAGCTTCAAGTTATCTTTTCTGCCTGCCTACTTTCCTATGGGTATTCCCCCTCCTTCCCCAACTATCTCCTTCAACTGAAAAATAATTATTTACCTACAAAGTAATGATTTAAACCGAAAAACAATGGTGAGAACAACAAAATGGGAATAATAAACCATATGAGATGAGTAAAGTTAAAGACAGAGATGTAAGTTATTATCACAGTCTGCAATACAACCAACTTAACCCTTTAAATCCTAACATTTGAATGTATATTCTCCATATCAATCAAGAACCTCTTCAGTTGGTGATCGTTTCCTTTATTCAAGTGACCTGAATGTTTGATTCAGGGGTGATATTTTAGCGAGAAATTGGACGCCCATCACTCTTAGATATAAGAATAAAAAAATTAGGGTTCTCTCTCTCTCTCTCTTTCATTTTTAATGATCCTCAGGCAGCGGGGCTATGAAACAAACACCTACATGTAAAGTCCATTAACCCTTTAACTTCCCAAGATCTGATTGTTAATTCTCCCCTGTAGCTGCTACACATTTCCTTGTAAATTAGTTATGAGAACTTGGTGCTAGATCGAAATAGCAGCTTCTAACTGATAAGTTTGAATATTCTCATTACCTGTTTGCTGAAGAATGTATGGATATTGTAGGGAGAAGTTTTATGTTAATAACTTCTGGGAGTTCAAGGGTTAAGTATGATACTATAATAATAATAATAATAATAATAATAAAAAACACAAAAATTAAATGTATTATCTGAGAATTTGATACCACAAATGATCCACTCATTACCAAAGGTATTAAAATGACTTACTCATCAGGGTACGGTGGTTCAGGAAAGTCTAAAGAGCCACATTCCCAGGCTGCCAGAGTAACTGATGCTATGTGAGGTCCCTTTTAGAAAAAAAAGGAATGCAAATTACATGTGAAGGAAGTTAAATTTTGTGATTTCACAATGTGAACTGGGTATGATTCAAACAAAAATCATCACTATGCAAATTAAAGACCAATGTCAAAGGCCAAGGCAAGAAGTTAAAATTCTACTTTGCATCTAGGACACATTGTAAACAAATAAAAAAAAGTCTCAGATGGAAAGACATTCAACAAATATATGTTAGAGCTGATTAACATTCAGGGCATGAAATTAATTTTTTTTTCTGATAGCCATTTGGCTCCTAAATTCTTCAAAGTGGGTAGCCAATTCAAAAAAAGGTGGTCGCCATTTTCAAAGACAAACAAAACCTTTCTTTACGCTGTCAGCGTTCTAGATAAACCCTCCAAAATTAAGTAAGGGAAAAGATCTCTTAAGTGCTACAAAGTGGACACTAGGATGGATGATATACAACGTTCAAGCTCACCTAAATCCAAGATGGCGTCTAGTTATCGATCGAGATGATGCATGTGCTACGTTTTGGAAACAAACTTAACGAGGAAGTATGCCGCGGATTTATCTTTGCAAATCTTTTTATTCACTATATTTCTTGGTTAGGTTATGATGAAACATTCTAGTCGCCAATTTGGCGACTAACTTTCAGGATTTGGTCGCCAAAGTGAAAAATTTAGTCGCATTGGCGCCTGTTTTAGGCGCAATTTCACGCCTTGACATTTGAAGTTCATAAATTCAAATCTTTGAAAAAAGAGGAAAGGAAAACAGGTATACAAGAAATCCATAGATGAATTAACCTTAGACCCCTAAGAGTGATAAGCATCTAATTTCTCCTAAAAAAAATATCACCCCTGAATCCAACATAAAGGTTACAAGAATAAACGTAATGATCAACAACAAAAGAAGCTTTTGATTGCTAAACAAATTCTCCATGTCAGCACCTAAAGAAATGTATAGAGAACAGTATGGAGAACATGAATACTGATCATAGGGTGTAAGGGGCTGAGAAACTGTGGTGCTGCACTGGTGGATATACAACAAGGTAATTAATTTTATGAAATTAGTTGATAATGTAAATTGGCCACCCTTGAAAAGTTTTAAAGCTGGCATTTCAAGCGTTAGTACTTTGTTAGAGTGTTGTCTCTTTGATGAAAGGTTAATCCAAAAATGCACAAGCAGCACTCGCCACACAAAATTTGTATATCAAGTAAATCAACTTAATGCTTGCTTACCAAGTACAGAAGGAATGTATGCAGTCCAGTGCCAAGGCCAACAGAGGAAAGAATGCCAAGACCAACCCAATACGCCCACCACAGCAACACTGATTTCAACTGACCTAAGCTCTACATAAAAAAGGAGTGGATCATGTCACCTTACAGCCTCTTTTAAATTGGTTGTACCTCTAAAAACCCCATGGCCCAGTTGCTCAAAAGGGAAGACAGTGCTATCCAGAAATAAATTGCTATCCAGTGGATAAGTGTCAACAAAATGTAATGCACTATACCCCCTGGATAGAGATCTATCCAGTGTGGATAGCACTATTCACCCTTTGACCAAGCGGCTACATGTGACAATTTTGCGAGTGGAGAATTTTGATGAAAATCTGTCCTTACCAATACAACAGATTTAAACAAACAAACACTGAAACAAGGAGCCCCAAAATAACTAAAACTGGGTGAGTCACAGTAACATATTTTGGAAGGAGCAAATACATGGCAGTTTGTCACACAGACCTTGTGCTCCAGAGTGTCATGGCCTTACATTACTCAACAAGCATGTCCTGTTCATTGGTCAGTCTGTCTCCTGAGTGTAAGGGCCCACTACTACACTGTACAAGTTAGAGCTGAGACACACATACTATTCAATAAAAACAAAAATTTCCCTTTAAATAATCTAGTCAAATACCACTGTTTATGTTAGATAATCTCATCATTGCCCTACTTTTCTGGACCAATTACAGAACCAAGTAAAGTGAACCTGGAGAAATCCCAGATTACTTCAAACTCAATTGAAAATCACTCTAATTTCTAAATGTGCTTTAACCCTTTAACTCCCAGAAGTGATGAACATGAAACTTCTCCCTCTAATATCCTTACATCATACAGTAAACAGGCAATGGGAATATTCAAACTAATCAGGTAGCAATTGTTATCTTGATCTTGCACCAAATTCTTATCACTAATTTACAAGGATATTTGTAGCAGCTAGAGGGGAGAATTGACAATCATATCTTGGGAGTTGAAGGGTTAACACCCCACACAGGTTAAGAAAAAAAGGTCAATGTATTACCTCTTGATGGGAGCCCTCCAAATTATATACCAGAGTCATTAAAATTGATATCAGGACTATTGATGAAACTGTTTTTTTGTGTTTTAATACCCTGAAAATTAACAAAATAAAAAAAAAAACACTCTAATATCATACATACTAATTCATTTGATTCACTAATAAAATATGTCACTTGCATGAAAGCCTACATAAAAACTACTAACTTACAGTTTAATGCAATACTCTATCAAAATAAAAATTTCTGACATTCAATCAAGGAAGTTACTTTGTGGAACCAACTGTTAACAGACAAAGGACTAAATAAGAAAATATTTCCTAGAACAGAAAAAATTAATAATCAATAAAATGAATATTTTACCAGTTACCTTTCCTTATAATCATGTAAAAGAATCCCCATCTCAAAGCAGAAGTAAGTTAAAGTTAAAAAGGGCTGACGCCAAAGTACGATCCCTTGTCTTCTTTTCTGATCTATTTTTTTCTGTGCTCGTATCTCATCTTCTGACAGGACACCAGCACTCACTCCATTGACTGGCACTGTTTGATTAATTACCATGGTGTCATTTTCTGTGGAAAGATTCTATGTGAAGCACTTACAAATGTTAACTTGTATAGGAGCTGTGCTGGCTGTTATTTACACTCTTCTCTCAAGATCTCATTTTAGTAATCCTTCTTATTGTCTGCCGTAAAATTCTGAGATGTTACATATAGTTTGGAGAATTTTACGCTCAAGCAATAATGCCCTAATTGATAATTCTATTGATGCTCGTTATTTGTCTGCTTGATATTGTATTGATGCCAAGGTTTGATGTCTCTTGGTGGCATGAGGTGTTCGCTGAACATTCCAGGACATCTGATAATTGCTATGAAAAAGTTAATAAAGCTCCCCTTGACCAAAAAGGAAAAAACCACAACTTCTGATAACTACATTTCTAATCATTTTCCAGACACAACTCTACTTTGTTTGCTCATTGTTCAGAAACACGAGTCCAGAGAAATGCCTCAAACAAACCTAATGGGTCTAATTCGAAATAACTCAAGTGGCAGCACACTAAGCTTATTTTTCTGTATAGAAACAATGCATGTCTTAAAGAAGACAACGGTAAACACAAGGTCCACAAATAGTCCTGACCAAATGTTACAGTAACATATAACAGGAACAATTTAAAACACATCAAAAGAAGAAACTCAAGAATAGCCTAAAAAGCTGTACCGGTAAAGCTGATTTTACTGCTGTGATTGAAGGCTAGGCCTACTTAAGGCTAACTCTAACAAACCCTTCTTTATACAAGTCATGGTTTTGAACTTAAAGTCCAAAACCTGTGTTGATTATATAATCCAGAGAATACAAATCGCTTTCAACTGACAGTCTCCCTGTTCCGTCTACAAGCTTCGGCACAATGCAACTATTCTTATAATGACCTTTTAAGTATGAAGGTTTTGGAACAGCATTTTTAGCATTTCCAGAGACAACACTCTTGCCAAAATCAACTATAACAGGGTAGAACCTGGTCTTCATGTTTCTCTAAAACAACATTATTATATTTTGGGTCATTGTGAGCAAATTCACACTAATGAATATTGTCTAACACGACTGCCATGTAAGGAGGATAGAGAAGAACTTAGAAATAACCCTCAGGTATACACTACCCAAGAGGGTATTGAAGAGATTAAAAGTAATCCTCAGGTATACACTACCCAGGAGGGTATTGGAGAGATTAAAAGTAACCCTCAGGTATACACCACCCAAGAAGGTATAGAAGAGATTAAAAGTAACCCTCAGGTAAACACTACCCAAGAGGGTATGCAAGAGATTAAAAATAACCCTCAGGTATACACTACCCAAGAAGGTATAGAAGAGATCAAAAGTAACCCATAGGTATACACTACCCAGGAGAGTATAGAAGAGATTAAAAGTAACCCTCAGGTATACACTACCCAAGAGGGCATGAAAAATTGAATTCACACTAATTAATATTGGGAGAGCATTCTTTGTCTAGACCCTTCCTTTTGACTGAAAGTTGAGGTATCCACTGTTAACTTATATAACTATTATTCTTAACTAGTTTCTGAATGTCTTTGTCAAGCTCAGCTATTCTTGACTGACAACTAAATGTAGTTCCCCATAATTATTCAACTAGAGGCATTTCCCGCCTAAAGTGTATGGTCAAGAGTGATCTGATTTACCACATCAACAACAGGATTATATTTTGAGACCTCACAAATCCATCTGCTGGAAATTCTCACTTTTTAATTAGTCCAACACAGAGATCAAATGAACATACAATTCAATAATTCATTATTTCAATATCATCGAGGTCTTGAAAATCAACCTGCTGCCAAGCTTGATAATTGACTCTGGCAAACATTTCTGTCTTCTGATTAATAAAGCCCTGTTGGGGGGGGAGGGAGGAGCCTATATGTCTCCTGTCTGAGTTTCAAACCTTAAAAGCTAGCTTTTCATATTGCAGTTTTGGAAGGTTTCATGTTGCTGCCACAATGTTGCCCAAAGTCACTGATAGACTGTTCAATGTAAATGTGTCCTCATAATTCTGTTCCAGAACCATTTTATTTTAGGATAATTTTTTATTATCAAACAAACTTAATTAATAGTCTTGCAAAGTGTGACATGGGAATACAGAGAGGAAATACTCATGGAAAGTTTAACTTATTTGTAAAATACAATTTCTTCTACCTGAATGTGCTGCAAATCATTGTCCAACTTTTAGAAAGCCAATATAGTGGTTGATTTCACAGTTCTCTTTGTCCCAGAGTCATGTGGCTTTGTCAGAGTCATGTCACTTGTCGGAATTTACCTTATCAGGACCCCACTGATTGGGTGATAAGAGGTAACGAAAAACTAAGGGAATACTGTCTGATTTACCACCAAACTCTCAGACATAAAAATAAAGGAAACATTTGACATACAGTATGGAGAGTTTATTTATAAATAGTAAAGGTAAGAGGTTTATACTCAGTCTGATAGAAGAACTTTCTCATAGTTTCTTTTAATAATGATGTATTTGATTCTTTGTTTTAAGATCACTCTTCTTACCTTGATTCATTTTTTCCCTATGCCTTGCTCCTCCAGTATTGGCAGAGGAGGTTTGTTGCTTACTGAAAACAAAAAAATAAATAGATAAACAAACAAATGGCAGTCAAAGGTGGATCACTGTGGGAGAAAACTAACTGATAAATTGTGGATCCTACCAGTGAATATACAATAAAACAGTACACATGAAAAGAAGACATACAACTTTTGATCCTACAGACAATAATATCATGATGTATTATACATTTCTGCACTCATGCTATGTTTGGAAGTTAACTTTCTGGATCACAAAATCATTGACATATGTAAATTATAAAATGAGTTGATACTGAGGGACCTTGAGCAGAAAACTTGTGATTGGTAATGATTGTGTATTTCTCTTTGTGACAGTTATTGTTGGTTGTACTCTAAGAGAATATTGGGTAAATCCTAACATTAAAATACACAGAAGACCTCATAAAATGAAACACCTCTGAAAGTATTTATATCCTAAGAACAATGTTAATTTTTTTCAATCAACCCCTGAAAATTAAAGCCCCCTACTCTGGAAGTAACAACCAGTAAGTAAGTACCAGCATGTTCAAAGTGATGACAGAGATCTCAGATCCTCGTGTTACATCATAGTTATCATATCAAAGAGCAACTTGGTTTACAAATGAAAAAGAACTGAATACTTCAGAAGTAAAAAACAGCTAGAGGCAAATTGAATTCATTGCCTGAGAACCAAGGCAAGAGGAGAGTGGATAGGACAACACATAACAGGGCAAAGAGAACTACCAGAGCTAAGAGACTAACTCAGTGATGAAATGAGTTTGCCAAGTTGATACAGAAACATTTCAACTCCCCCCAGTGATGGAAATGTCTGGTCATTAGAGGAATCTACAGGTCAAATAAATTGTTTATAAACATTGCCTGATTTCAATAAATGTAATAAGTGATTTTAAAGTAGTTCATGCAAATATACTTTCTCAAAAGCTGATGTTAATTTATTCCTTCAGACATTAAAAATCGTCAATTTGACCTGCAAAGTCAGCTAAATAATGAAAAGAACTTAGAAATGACAAAATTACTCTCTACATTTCAAACAATTGACACATCATGAATTGCGAAGAAGTAAAAAATTGGCAAAGAAAACTGAATGACATCATCACACATCATGGATAGAAAAAATAAATGAGCAAAAAACTGGATAGAAAGGAAATATGATAAATTCTAATAACACTGAAACTGAGACTTTCAATTGCAGCGGAGGAAATCATACACATCAAAGAGATCAGACAATCTTTCTTCAACCAATTTTCTTTGCAATGAACCCCAGAACAACATATCACAAACACTGTACAGCTAATCAAACACGTGGATGTCACGACTAACTTTCGTCGGAAAATGAATTTGTTAACTTCCAGTTCTCTAAGGTTTAAAATACGAAATATGCCACACTTGCGACTAAAACAGTAAATAATGAATTGACAAATCACTGCCAGCAAAGAAAAAGAGAATTCTTCAATTCACACAAATATGAGTATTTTCCCGGATAAACTAATAATACCAGTGCGCAGGATTTGAACACGTATGCAGACACAGTAAGGACGTATGATTGCAAGACAACCATGAGAATTACACCTCTAACTATTTCTTTCGATGTATGTCTTTCTATCATAGCTATAAGTGTAAAATATATGATTACAATCAAATAATAGCCCTTAAAGACGGTAAAAAAGGGAATCTGCTTACCAATTGGTAGATTCTTCGGACATTTCGTTTAGGGGTATTTCATCTAAACTCTCTAATCGTGCAATCTATGAGTACAGCGGAAACGAAACAAATGATAAATATTTAAATAAAGCTAAAGCGGAAACGCGAAGCTTATTAAAGAACAGCATATAAACATATGTAATTCAGGTACAACAGAAAATTACCAATTCTGCTTTCAAGCCTGTTGTAGGATACCCTCTTCTTTTTAATTCTTGGCGCAATTTCACAACAGTCCACGAGTTCAATATTGACGGACTGATCTCGGGATCTTTCGCCGCGATTCGTGCCAGCTGTCGGGCACTTCGCCTACGCTCGGCCATAGATCGCGCGGAAATATTAAGGGCAAAGTCCTTGCTGTGGATAAGCGACGACAGATCTCCTAGGTATCTGTAAAAATTGCGGAAATCCAAGGTGTCAAAAGAGTCCAAGGAACAAAGGAAAAGCGCTCGAAAATGGCTGCTGTGTTTCAAATGGGAACAACCGCTGGAAACAATAATTGTCACCTTCGCTCAATCTCATACCGCTGACTGAGAAGTAAAAAGACCCTTCCTAACTACTCAACATTCGGTTTCTACAATGACTCAGTCTCGTCACGAATATGTAACTTTACTGGAATTATTAATTAATAATTTTTCTGCCAGTTCACGTTCTGAATCTTTTATATATTCGGGTTACCCCCCCCCCCTTCCCTCCCCCCGGGCAACCGTTAGTATGGACGGAAATTCCTTCTCCGCGACGCTTAGCATTGGAAGGAAGTCCCATTCGATTGCATCTTTCCGTGAGTTATTGGCAACTTTCCCCTCCTAAAGGATCAGCTGAATGAATTTGGAGCTGTATCAAGATCTAATAACATTCTACCTCCTCCTAATCATTTTAATCCTCCTGATTAGGAATCCTCCTCCTAATCATTTTAATCAATTTTTTTCTATTTACTGTGCTGAAAGTGCGAGAAGAAGTTGAAGTAAATCTCTTCAGGGAGTTCGCGACACAAGTTGAGCCACTCGTGAACTTACCAATTAGCCTACAAGCTGACAGTAAAAACGATGGAACATAAAAAGGGACCATACCTGTAATTCACTGCTGCTTCTTTTTTGGGCCACGTAAACTGAACGACCCATCGGACAACCATCTTAATAGATAATAGATAAATAGTTTGATAGTTAAAAGAAAATTTTTTAAATAGTTGAAGAAACTTTAATTCGGCCATTTCTCTCTCTTGCAGTATAGTATAGTACAGTATAGTATCTGGTATGTGTTAAATTTGGCGGCAATTCGAAGAAAGTATATAGAATCGTTTAGCTAAATCAGAAACATCATATTATGATTGTGAATAATATTATGTCAGATTTCTTGTCTCTATCAAATCAGAAGAGATTCATTCCTCTGAGGTCCGCAGACGACTACTTAAAGCCAAGAGCAAAAAGCTGCAAACTTTTAATGGAGAACATGATGAATTAGGTGAAGTGCAACATGCTGGGGTAAGAGTGGTGCCTGTTACCACAGAATACGAAATAATCCGAAAAGAGAAATGACACCAACTCGTCCCAGGGCTTTTCCCTCGAAAATTGGGGCATCCCAACTCTCAAGGGAGAAGCCCTGGGAACGAGGTTGTAGGGACACTTTGCTCTTCACATCATTTTAGATGGAAGACATATATGACCATAGATGAGTCATCTTGAAAAATCCTTTGACAATAAATCTTTTAAGATCCAATCTCACTTTTCTACGATGGGCAAAATTACAGTTGAAAATACAGAATGGTGAAGAGATTCCGAGAAATATCATTATAACAAAAAATTGGAGCTCCGTTCTGTGAGGTTCAGAGACTATCCTAAACAATTAAGCTTGGTACAGTAAAAGAAAGCGAACAACATTCGAAGCAGTCAATTGATAAAATTTATTGTGCGTTAATCATCAAAAGGACAACAGAGAGAGAGAAAAAAAGAGCATTTCAAACTTTGACCCTATAATTAAAAAAATGAGATTCCATATTGCATTATCTGGTACATCAAAGCGTAGCAAACGGAGAGCGCCAAAATCAAAGGACCAGACCGAAAAAATAAAATAGAAAAAACGAAAGACAAGTCTTCGTTATTGAATTTTCATGAAAATCAGTTAGACAACAGCCATGCAGTCAATTATAAAAGAGGTCGTTTGAAGGGCTGCATGCCGTGCGGTAAAGTGAATGACAAAATGTATCAATTAACGCTCAACCTTAGGAATTTAACTATACAGAAAGCTTGAAAGCTTTCTCGAAATATCTTTGACATAACGTTAATTAATTTGCCAAAATTACTAAATTTACCGGGTTTCCGGCCAACTAATCTAGTTTCCGACCACCAGTAGAAAACCAATTTTCCCTTGACAAAGAAAAACAAGCTTCCCTCGCCAAAGAAAAGGGACATGCCAACTCATAAATGCACTTTCTTTTCCTTACGTTGAATTTAGAAAAAAAAATAATGATCTCGGTCACGCGCAAAGCAGCACGTTTACAAAGAGTTCGCGGGTCGTTTAAAACTGGCCATTCATCTTTGAATCACTCATTAACCACGCCGTAGAGGAAGTCTAATAAAAAAATATTGATAACGAATGCACTGCCTCGAGTTTAGCGTGGGAAACATCAGTATTGTATCAGTTGATTCTTTGAACACTGAATCCACAAAATGTCGTTTTTTTGAGCCATCATTTTCATCTCGTATTGACTTTTTCGCATCTGGTATAAATAAATACCTGGCAACACTGGATAAGAAACTAGTAACCCCACATTCAAAATGTTTTGTTCTCTCGCTGTCAAAAATTTTCCCACGATTTGAAATTTGAAACCTTACTCCTACTTGTCCTCAAGTCCACTCGATTGCCACATGTATATCGTGTGTTCAGCTAGCACCACGCGTCCGAAGCCCTCAGCGTGGGTCTCCTGTTTCCAACTGCTGGGTTACTCTCACACTAAGCTTGATAGAGCAGTTTTCAATTAAATGGCGAAAGTAATCCGGGATTGTTTTAATTTAACTGTATGACGGCCTTTAACTGGTCTAGAAAAATTCGTGCCACCCTCTCGATCAATCAGATACGAGAATCAAACCAATCGCGACTTGGTCACCAGCGTTTTCCCGCGCTTTAGGATCGGACCAATGTGTATGAACTTTGAGTTCCTATTGGCTCCAGTGATATTTTCCTCTGTTTTGACTGGCCGTTGTGATTACTCAAGGGCTTTTGTTTTGGTTCTACGGCACTCAGTTGAAATATATTCTAACCTACTGCTGTTTAGGAAAGAGCGAAAGCTCCTTACTCCTTAGAGAACACTGAACTCTAGAGAGTGGAGATAATTGAGCATACTCTCATACACCACGTGGCGCTAAGCTCACAGATATCTGTATATTAAATATGTTTATGATCAAAGTGAAATTGAAGCTCTTGCTAGATAAAACCACGTTTTATGAATGCCTCCTGCCTTTCAGGCCATTTGCGCGACTGATAATGGAGAGGTTTAGTATAACGTTGGTGGTAAACGGAAGACGCTATATGGTAAATTTCAAAGTCACTTTCGGCGGTTTCACCCGTTTTTGCGTTAAGAGGAAAACATTTGCTTTAGCAATGAACAAGAGAACACTCTCTTGCTATGAACAAGACTCTTTCAGTCTGCTATTTTTCTTTGCGGATTATTTAAAGATTATAGGGGAAGTGAGTTAAAACAGTCTTTGTTTCCGCCGTTCAACTTTGTCATAGACACGCCATTAAACTCAATTATGGAGAAAAAAAATTCGTATCGGAAAAAAAAAAAGATACTCGCATTTTTTCTGTTCGATTCATTTACAGACCAAAAGAGAAGTAAGCGAAGGAAGAGGTGAAACTTAAGAAAAGTCGCGTTTTCAGTAACTCGGACGTGGGCCTCTCCGCGGTCCCACTGGCATAGCGCAAACACACATTTCTTTCACTAGTTGTGCACGTGCGTCTTATTTGGACCGGTAAACCGGAAATTAAATGCATTGCAGCGTAGGCCATAAGGTAACTTAGCAAACGGACATGTCAGTGTCATTATTGATTGTACAACTACAGTCATTAACTTGAGAACACATCAAAACATATGGCATCTCTCACTTATCCAAGGCCACGTGATACTCATACTCTTTCATAATCGATGTGTGTTGTCCCTTACGATGCTTACGTAAATTTTCAATAAAGCGTTTTGATTCGTGATAATTGGGAGACCATACAGTATGAGAAAAGATTCAAATTCAGTGTCATCATTCACAATTTTTAAACAACTTGATTTAATTTATTCACGATGATGTATACCATGTCTTATCACAATTGCCTGGAGCCGGAAAGGGTGAACTTTTATCTAAAACTTTATGCGCCAGATAGCTGATTTTCGGCTGCCATTATTTTATTCGAGATCGAGAAATTGTTATTCGTTAATTCGAACGTTAAAATGTCAGGAAACCAAAAAAAAAAAAAATGTTTTGACGCATACGCCCACGTCATCATTCCTTAAATTTCCTTAAATTTTGTTCCTAGAATTAAATATGGCTTCAGGCCCGTAAAGTTACTAGAACTTTCAAGGAACGGGCCCGAAGCCAAACGACCTGTAACTTGTACGATAAGGAAAACAACGATTGTCTACAAAGAACTGAGTTTGCGTTAAGCCTGGCTTCCAGCATCGCCTCAAAAAATTCGCATGATCAAGAAGATAGAGGCGACTGTTCATCAAGCCTTACCTCTATTATCTTATGAACTGTAAGCCTCTTGAGAGCTTTTATTGAAAACTATGAGACAAAAATCCCCGTATCAGGGTGGTACACGATAGCGTGGGCAGGGCCTCGAAAATCTGCACGGTTCCGCGAGCTAAAGAGAGAAAGGCACAAAAAAGAGAGAACGACGGTCATATGATAAAATGGTTTTTAATTTAGTTTGGTGGCGCCACGACGGGAAAATATTTGGCGCTCGATCATGAAGCACTAACCTCGCTACGCTCGTTCCAAATATTCTCCCTTGCGGCCCTCCCTCTTTGTCAAAAAGTACATATCATTCCAGACCATATTATACAATCCGTCGGAATCGTCTGGATCAGTTTTTTTTAAGTGTTCACAACCTCGTCGCTAATTCTCCAGCACAGAATACATCTAATCACGGTATTCATTTTTCTTTTTTTCTATTTTTTTATAAATTCCAATCATGACATGGTAAATCCTTTTAAACTTTATAATTATTAACTTTCTCCTTTATTTTTTGTTGTTTGTATTTTCCATCCTTGACCTTCAGTGTAGGGTGTAAATTAGGCGAAAACTTTGCGAGTGGACGTCCAAGATAGCATATTCTTCCAACTCAAACATGCAACTAGTGGAAGTGTTGAAAATAGTTTGCGTTAATTTTCTTTTCTCCCCCTGCCTACGCTTACAGTGCAGAGATACGATGATGAAAATAGAAATGCAAATAAGGTTTTGATTTAAGCGATATTCGG